CTATTCTATTCTATTCTATTCTATTCTATTCGCTCTAATTTATTTAAAACAAACAAACAAACACCTTGCTATGTGTACTGTGCTAGACTAACGGAGACTAGTCACAGCACTTGTATTATGTTGCTCTCTTGTTGGTCTGATTGCTTCTATTGTTCTTCTCATTTGTAAGTCGCTTTGGATAAAAGCATCTGCTAAATGATTAAATGTAAATTTCAGTTAACGTTTATGAATGAAATCACTTGATTCTTCTTTCACTTGATATTTGTTTTATGTTGATGAATTATTTATTGATAAAATGCTTATATATTTAATTCTCCAAGCTTCAGAACAAATTGGAGAAACTCGTACTATATTAAAGGCCTATGCTAAAAAAAAACCCTCTAATGACCTCTGACCAAACTGTGCTTTTCCTCATCTCTAAATACCGGTAGGGATAGTGATTGTACTCGCAGCTGCACAGTAAACCTACAACATCTCTGCAACTGCTCTCTTTGGCTCTCAGCTTCAGTCTGTCCATCTGGAGCTGCTCTTGCTCAAGGAGGTGATGCTGAATCTTTTGAAAGATTTTAGAGACATAAAATCTCCAGGCAGAAGGAGTTGGACTATAAAAATTGGACTATAAATTGGCTTGGATTCTATCCCTAGGACATCTTGGCTGTAAAGATTTTGCATCAAATAGGAATCAATCAGACTCCTGTGTGTGGATTTAGTGTTACGTTCTTTTTTTTTCTTTCTTCTGTCTGTGTGCACAAGCTGTTCATCATCCACAGTTATATAAAAGCTGTACTGCAATCTAATGAAGACAACCCGCATCTATAATAGCATTTTTATGAGTATGCCTGTCCATTAGCATATGTGTGTGGCAGTAGTTCATGAGGATTTATTTTTGGTAGGTCTGAAAAAGAACCCGCTCTTTCTATAATGCTGAGAGTAGGCAGTGCCTTGCATAACAGGTAAAAGCCAGTTTCAGATTGAGGATGAGAGGGAGAGGATGAAAACTAGAGGGGAAAGTAGATTTCTCTATCCACCTACTCCTATTCATGCTGTCTCCGGCGTTTTCTCTCCTCCCACGTGCATCCTGTCGTGTGTGTGTGTATGTGTGTGTGCACAGACGTCAGTGAGAACTGTTCGTAGATGGTGATAACCGGATGGAATGTTAAGGTATTAAGAGCAATGGACAGACTCTTTAAATTACATCAAAAATTAATTCTACACATTTGAGTTTTTTTCCTGCCCAGCTAAATATTTTAAGAACGTTTTGCTAACCAGTTTTGGGGGTAACGCGAGTTACTACAGATTACTTTTTTAAGTAACTAGTAAAGTAACGCATTACTTTTTAATTTAGAAGTAAATATCTGAGTTACTTTTTCAAATAATTAACGCCAGTTACTTTGTTTTCCCATTTATTGACTGACAGCTCTCCTCTCCTGTGTTGAGAGAAATCGGGAGTAGGCTAAGTGCAGAGTGCGTTGCATGCGCTGTGTGAACATGATGGTTACTATAGTTCTGAAGGTTTTTTCAGCTGACCTTCGATGATCCAATTCAACCATATAAGCAAAAATGACTTTAGATAAACATAACATTTGTGTTTCTTTATTATTATTATTATTATTATTATTATTATTATTAGCCTATTGCTGAAGAGAGTTGAATTTACTTATCCTGCATCCTATTCTTCATCTAATCCAGAATGGCAGCACAACTAAAAAGGTTTGTTTGAGCTGCGCCCTCTACTGTAAAGACGTGAATTTACATTTCCTTCAGCCTGAGGCTTATTCATTTCACTTTTGGCATAAAACTTTTTTCTATTGAAAACAAACAAGCAAGCCCAGCTCAGATTTAAAAAGTAACGCAAAAGTAACACAATGCATTACCTTCCATAAAAAGTAACTAAGTAAAATAGTTACTTTTTAAGGGAATAACGCAATATTGTAATGCATCACTTTTAAAAGTAATTTTCCCCAACGCTGTTGCAAACGTTACCGTTAAGTTATGGAAACGTTATTGTTTTTATTGTAATGTTTTGAGAACATAATCAAAGACCAGATAACTTTGAGCAAACATTTTTTCATGGAAGAATGTTTGTTTATAACTTGTCAGAACGTTAGCTTTTCTTTTCTTTTCTTTTAGTTATTATGCCGCCCGCAGTTGGAACCAGCTTCCAGACGAGATCAGATGTGCTAAAACATTAGTCACATTTAAATACAGACTCAAAACTCATCTGTTTAGCTGTGCATTTACTGAATGAGCACTGTGCGATGTCACAACTGATTGCACTATATTCGATGTATAATCATTTTCTATTCTTAACTGTTTTAAATTCATTGTAAATCAATTTGTAAATAATTTTTAAAATCATTTTTAAAGTTTTTAAATTCCTTGTTTTATTGTTGTGATTATTTTTTATGATTATTTTCTTTTCTTTTATGTAAAGCACTTTGAATTACCATTGTGCATGAAATGTGCTGTATAAATAAACTTGCCTTGCCTTGCCTTTCTTTTCTTTTATTTTCTTTAATGTATTATTTCATCAATCTCAGACCCAGATGCTTTTTAAAATTCATCATTAAATAATAATTATTATAGCCTATTTAAAAATTATTATAATCTAAGCATAGAGTGAAATAATGACAAACCATTTCATTATATGGTGTAAAAATGATTTATATCAGTTTTTAAAACAGTTTATTTCTACCACAGTTATTATCTTTGGTTGCCAAGGAAACAAAATTATCAGTGTAGAGCATGCTTGAGATGAAATATGAGACATGGTGCGTGAGGACACTTGACATGCATGATGTGTAAATGGAATATTTTTATTGCACGTCATTTCCAATGAGCTGTAATTTTGTCAAATTAATGAAGTGTGAAAATATGCAATTTGAGATGCATAAAATAATAGCAATGAAGCTAGCAAAAAAAAAAAAAAAAAATTGAGTCAGCTGTTTTATTCCAAATTTGTTTCAATATCATTTTCACCACTTTTACTGTATGTCCACCACAGAATGTTGTCAAACATAGTACATAACTGAAATGTGGTGTAAATGACATTTCAGATAAATTACACACAACTGAGAGTATGAAACGTGTGTTGTAGGAGAGTTTAATTATGAAACATCCACAGGGCCAGACATACCCATTTTTTGAATAAATACATGCAAAATAAGCAATTTTTTATATTTAACTTCTTTCACACAACATACAAAATGTCAATGCACTGGATCAAACCATTATATTTTATTTATTTTTCCCCCATTGAGTTAATATTTTTGTCTTCTTTTCAGCAATGTCAAAATCTGTTTATTTCCAGGATCAAACAATAGGTCTTGATTGAATAGCACAGAAATTCCAGATATGAACAAGAAAATGCTTTTTCAGCTGTGGATTCTAAGTAAACAATTCCCTAACTAATCATAACCCTTTTCTCAATAAATCAGTTTAAACAATTACATCAAACTCACAAACACAACACATTTACACTTTAATATATTCACTGTGGCACAGCAATTATCACATCACTGCTGTCATTAGCACTCATTTAATATCAGCAGAGAGTGAGTCATAACAAAATCCTCTGAGGTGCATGTGTTTGCATGTGTATGTGCATTTCTGCCTAATTGTGTTTCTTTAGCAAACTGTAAAGCATTCTCTTTTTTTATTGATCTGTGCACGCATGCACACACACAAAATCTCAAAATCTATTTGCATAATCGTTAAAAACCTTGGCTTGCCCAGGTTGCTTTAGGAAGAACAAATGAACAGAGTAGACGGCTAAGGGGATAAATATAAGCAAATATATAACAAATATTTTATAAGTAGGCTACATTTTCTCTTCTTAAACAGCTTTTCACTGTAAACACTTAATTTCCAGCTACCTTCTTCGTGATTTGTATATTCTCCTAATGGATTCATAAATTCAAGTTTCAATCACAAACAGTGCAGTAAAATTATTGTAGGTTATGTGCTTTTAAAAGAGCTCATAGCGCCACCTTGTGTTCTGTTTTTTTTTGTCCAAGTATTTCAGTAAATATGTATCAAAAACATTTTATTTCGTTGCAAATTCTGAATGTTAAATCAGAACTTGACAACTTTTGAACTTTAAAACATTACTCAAACAGAAATTAAGTACATTTAAATGTAAAACCACTTACTGAATTATATACATAGAATATGTTTATAATTTCAATACATGTGCTTAAGCTAGAACAAATACCTAATAGCAGATAAAACAAGACAAACAGTACTAATTTAATAGACTGTAATATAAATACAATGGGCCACATATACAATATAAAATTCATTAATCGTATGTTGTTATAATCATTTATCTGGCAATGGGTGAAATAGTTTTTAAACGTTGTCAACCGTTATAGGACATGACGTCAATGAAGCGGCACGTCAGAGTCGAGGCGGAAGCGGAAGGGAAGCAGTGGGTGCTGAAACATGGCGTGCGCTTACACACGCAGAGTCAGGATGACAGCCGGCGCGTGTGTGTTTTCTGCGATTATTGCAACATGTGTGATGCAGCTGCCCGCATCGGCCAAACCGGGCAATTTAAGAGTAATCACAGATGGAAACTGGGAGGATATCCTGACGGGAGAATGGATGATCGAGTTGTGAGTTATTAAATTGAGTTGTGCAAAAAAAGTCTGTGTTTATTTATGTTTATCTATGCGTGGCGATTAGTGCTGCACATCTAAATGATCTAAAATATCTAGCTTCAGATTATTACATTATTTCTTATTGCAGTGTTCTTGTGCTGGGCTCAGGATAGAGGAAGTTCAGTGGTCTGACGTTAAAGGCATAGTACACTCAAAATTGACAATGATATCATCAGTGCCTCCCCCAAATGTTTATTCAATACCTCATGATTTTCTTTCTTCCTTGGAACACAAAAGGAGATTTTGGAAAGAATGACAGCCTCAGTCACCATTCACTTTCATTGCTTCTGGTGACTGTCATTCAGCCTAACATCTCTTAAAGGGGTCATATGATGCGATTTCAATTTTTCCTTTCTCTTTGGAGTGTTACAAGCTCTTGGTGCATAAAGAAGATCTGTAAAGTTGCAAAGACTAAAGTCTCAAACCCAAAGAGATATTCTTTATAAAAGTTAAGAGTCAGCCACGCCTACCTAAAACGGCTCGTTCTAACAAGCCCCCACATGTCTACGTCACTATTTGGGCGGCGTTATGCAACTCTTCCCACATTTTTACGCAAAGAAAGAAGGCGTAACTTTTATTCTCGCCGTAGTACTGTTGCCGCCGCCATGTCGTGAAGGCGCTGTGTGCTTCGTTGTGAAAGCTTAGCAGCATCATATGACCCCTTTAACAACATGACTGTGAGTAAATGATGTCAGGATTTTCACTGTCCCTTTAATGAAATCTCTTCAAAAAATGTTTAAGTCGAAATAAACCGTTGTTTCCCCTGCACACTTCCTCCAGCTAGAGCAATCGAACAAGAGGATTGTAGTTAAATAGATCCGATGGAAAACAAATGAGCCTCTGTGTCTTTGTGTCTCCTCTGGCTGGGATTGTGTTATTGGATTAAAAGGTTTGCCTGTCTGCTGCAGCTTTGCTCCGTGGTGTCCAGCCTGCCAGCAGCTCCAGCCCGTGTGGAATGAGTTTGCAGAATGGGGAGAAGATTTGGGAGTGAATATTGCCAAAGTGGACGTCACCGAGCAGCCAGGTATGCCGCTATCTGTACACATCTGGTTCCTCTGCTCACCTGATCTCCCGTCTTTATGATTCTCACACTTGTCTCTCTCTCTGTGCTGCAGGTTTGAGCGGGAGGTTCATTATCACAGCTCTCCCGACTATCTACCAGTGAGTTTCGTTCCGTCTTACACACATTTAAAGGAACACTCCACTATTTTTGAAAATAGGCTCATTTTCTTTTTCAGGCGCTGCGTAATCTCATTGCGCCTGCTGCACCCATGGTACGGCAGCAAACGTCCTAAATAGTAAAAATATAGAAACTCTGTGGTCATTTTTGAGCGATATGCTAACGGTCTAATCAGATTCAATGATCTATGCTACGCTACAGCTAAAAGTGCTACCGCCAGACCTGAAGATCGGCTGAATGGATTGGAAAACGGTAAAACTCAACTGTTTAACTCTAGGGGAGTTGGAAAATGAGCCTATTTTCAAAAATAGTGGAGTGTTCTTTTAACCCTTTCTTTAGAAGTCAGTGATCTCGTAATTGGTGATAGATTTGATTAAATTAAAAAAAGTAATAGTAGTTGTGAACTATTGAAGTCTTTACTGTCGTCTTTGATATGATCTTTTGAACGATTATTTAGATAGATACACGCCAGCATTTGTCTTGTTTTCAGATGTCTGCAGAGTCTCTGTGTGGTGTAAAGGCAGTTATAAATGGTTAAACATGGCTTTTTGTATGCGTGTGTTGCAGCTGTAAAGATGGTGCGTTTCGGCGATATCAAGGCGCTCGATCTAAAGATGACTTCCTGAGCTTCATTGATGAAAAGAAATGGCAGAGCATAGAGCCGGTCTCTTCCTGGTTTGGCCCTTCATCCTTCCTGTGAGTACATGCTGTGTGTGTGGGTGTGTGCTGGGGCTGGTTTCAAATTGGATAATAATGTAATGGCCCTGGGCGAGTCTGGCAATATCTCTAGAAAAGGGAGTTTAGAGAATCCACAGCATGTGGTTAATGCTGATTCACAAGTTAGCTCACTTTTAATGTAATACTGACAGGCTATCTTTACATTTGATTTGATATAGTTTCTGTGACTGACTTTATTTTATTTTAGGATGAACGCAATGTCAGCCCTCTTCAAGTTATCCATGTTCATCAGGGTGAGTGTGTATGCCTATTAATATATAGCTGTTGCATTCTTGTCAGTTTTGAGAATTAATTTTTGAAATTATATACACTATTTTCCTAGCAATTCTTTGAATAATTTAGAGTTATAACTTACAGGCACAAATAGTTTATACCTCAAGCTAATGGTGAAGGAACCAGTAGCAGACACTGAGAGATAATATAGTCAGCCAGTCAATAATGCAAAATAAACCTCTGACTTACGGCAGAGGTGACTCATATCACCCTGCAATAAAGATTGCCTGACTGTAAATTATCCTGCTTGTGACCTGGCTACATAAATAACATTTTGAAATGGGATTTGGTAAAAAAAAATGTATTGCATGAACATTTTGTAAGCATTTAAAGCCAGTATGCCTCACTGCAAAGAAATACATTTAATAGTAAACACCTGACTTGACACCTTTATAGTCTGCTCATGGATGTTTTCATGCAGTAATTGAAATTATCTTTTAACATTGTGTTTCAGCATTGCCATAATTACTTAACGGAGCAGCTGGGTGTCCCAGTGTGGGGCTCGTTTGGGATATTTGCTTTAGCAACACTCATCTCAGGATTGGTCCTTGGATTGGTGAGAATGCACACGAAATACACTAAAAGCTTAAGGTTGTACGGTTTTTAATTGTTTTAAAGGGGTCATATGATGCGATTTCAAGTTTTCCTTTCTCTTTGGAGTGTTACAAGCTGATTGTGCATAGATAAGATCCCTGAAGTTGCAAAGACTAAAGTCTCAAAACTAAAGAGATATTCTTTATCAAAGTTAAGACTCTGCCACGCCCCCCTAAAACGGCTCATTCTAACACGCCCCCACATATCTACATCACCATGTGGAAATATTTGCATAATGCGCCCAAATGATCACGCAAAGAAAGAAGGCGTGGTTTCAGGAACAGCAGTAGTGTTGATGCAGCATGTCAGGGAGACGCTGTGTGTTTCTAAACGAAAGCAAAAGCACTTTATTTGGCCTTCCGAAAGTAGATGCATTTAGGAATCTTTAAGATTACTTACAACAGAACAGCAATGCATTTTATGGATGATCTTTAAAAAAGCATCATATGACCCCTTTAAAAAAAGTATTTTGTGCTCACCATAATTGCTTTTGATCATTAGTTGATCAAAAATGCAGTGAAAACAGTAATCTTGTGAAATATTATTACAATTTAAAATAACTTTGATATTTTAATATATCTGTACTAGATTGTAATTTATTTTTGATGGCAAAGCTGTGTTTTTAGCAGCAATTACTCCTGTCTTTAGTGTCACATGATCCTTCAGAAAACATTCTAATATGCTGATTTGTTGAAAAAACATTTGTTTATAAGAGTTGCTGCTGAATAATTTGTGGAAACAGTGATACATATTTTTTCAGGGTTCCTTTGGTGAATAGAAAGTTCAGTATTTATTTGAAATATAAATATTTTGGAACATTATAAATGTCTTTACTGTCAACTTTGATCAATTTAATGCATCCTTGCTAAATTAAAGTATTAATATCTTTTTGAAAGTATTACTGACCCCAAATTTACTAACGGTTGTGCAAATAAGATATGTTTCAAGTGTTAATATTGGAGTGGGTAATCCCAGAATACATTGCAACAAACTCATTTATCCAAAATCTTAGATGTAAATGTCTAAAGTAGCTAAAGTATAAATAAATTGCTCAATTGAATGTCGTGTGCTTTTAAGCTTATTAGAATATTGCATCATTAGCTTTGAACATGCTAACATTAAACTCTATTGGAATCATTTGTGAATCAAATGTCTCTCTGATTTTATTTTATATTCTTTCTCTCAGGTACTAGTTTTCATCGCCGATTTTGCTTTCCCGTCACGGCGGTTTGCACCAAATTATCACCACAGTAAGTGTAAATGTTTATATGAACCTGCCTGCTTGACTACAGGGACATGTAATGCACCAGAGATTCATTAAAACTTAAACTATAATGATCTGGCGTGTAAATGTTTCTGTAGGGAAACTGCCTGCTGGGCAGGTACGTCTCCTGCAGCAGTTGGAAGATGAACAGGAAGCAGATGGAGAGGAAGAGGATGATGATGATGATGAGTACAGTGGAAAGACTGAAGAGTGGCAGCGAGCAGACGGAGCCGATGTGCTCAGGAGAAGAGGAGTGGGTGTGCTGGAGGAGGACACCTAGTGGACTGGAGAGGAACTGCCTCTCGCTCACTGCTCACAAAACCACATGGCACAAACCACATCGCTACAGCAGTGCCCTGGCAGCGCTCATTAAGCTTGATGTCACATGTGATGTCATAGCTTCCTCTGAAAGATTGATGTGGTTGTGCTTTTCTCTCTTTCGTGCCGCTAGTTTGTGTGTTTTCTCTTTTCCACCTGTCTAGTTTTAATTATTACACTCCTTGCTATGCAGTATCTCTAGAGTGTGTGTGTGTGACAGAGGAATATTAGGACTTACTTTACGGAATTTTTACGACTCACAGTTGCAATATTCCCCATACAAATTCTGAGCAAAATAACCAAGATCAAACAACGATCTCACTGTGAATCTGTTGTAAATGAGGCTTTTTGGAATGAGAAAGCTTTTGTGCTTTACTTTGTAAATATTTTATTATTTGAGCTTTTTGGATGCCTGTTATATAAAGCCAGAATGTTCAATTTGCCGTTTTAAATGTTTTTTCTTCCAACTAGAGTTCAGGAAAACTAGAAAATGGCTGAATTAACACTTGTTTATTAATGTGTGTATGTGTGGTGATTCATTATTGTTTGACACTGAAAGATGCTTCCATTAGTTCATGTCTTTTAGGACATTTGTGCTCTTATAATTTGCTTTAAATGAGTTTCCACACCCTGTTTCTTTAAATTTATTTGGTTACACTTTATTACGATAGTCCATTTAGACATTCTAAGTAACTTTGCAACTACATGTCAACTAACTCTCATTAAAGCATTTGTAGACTGTTAGGTTAGGGTTAGTAAAATATGTTGCCGTACTTGCAAAGTTACTGACAGTCAGTAGAACGTCTGTTGAGCGACCATCAATATATAGTGTTAGTAGATATTAAGCAGTCTGCTAATACTCTAATGACTGCTAGTTGACATGGAGTTGCAAAGTTATTTAAAGGTAGTTGAATGTTTAAAGTGGACTATCAAAACAAAGTCTTACCTTTTATGTTTCAGTGGATTTTAGGATGTGTCTTGGTCTTCAAACTTTTTTGATGCAGTTTATTTGTACCCCTTTTAGTTCTAATAGTTTTCTTATTGTCGTTACTAAAGTTTGACCCCTGACACTTGACTGATCCACTAGAATTAAAGTGCTTCTCAATGTGTTCTGCTCATTTGTCCACTGCAGAACAATAGTAATGTGTGAATGTCTGCTTTTACAACTCTATTGCTTGTGTGTGTGTGTGAGAGAGATTGGTTTTGGAATGTTTCTGTATTTGAGACAGTGTGAATCTGGACTGTTAATAAACAGTTTAAAGCTGCAGTGCTGAGTATTTGCAGATGGTAATCAAAAGGAGTCTTAAATGCAATTATGTTGGCCTGGTAAAACAGTGATATTGTGAAAGATCATTACAGCGTAAAAGAACGGTTTTCTATTTTAATATATTTTAAAATGTAATTTATTCCTGTGACGGCAAAGCTGATTTTTCAGCAGCCATTAATCAAATCTTTAGTATCACATGATCATCATAGAAATCATTCTAATATGCCGACTCGGTGCTAAAGAAACTTTGCTGTGCTGCTTAATATTTTTGTGGAAACCATAAAAATTTTTTCAGGGTTCTTTGATGAATAGAAAGCTCAAAAGAACAGCATTTATTTAAAATAGAAATTTTTCTTGTAACAACGTAAATGTTTTAATTCAATGGATTCTTGCTAAAAAAGTATTGATTTCTTCAAAACCCTTTGAACAGTTTAGTGTGCAGTGGCCCAAAGAAGTGTTTTGGACAATAGATGTGTGATAAGGTTTGATATTTTAATATATCTGTACTAGATTGTAATTTATTTTTGATGGCAAAGCTGTGTTTTTAGCAGCAATTACTCCTGTCTTTAGTGTCACATGATCCTTCAGAAAACATTCTAATATGCTGATTTGTTGAAAAAACATTTGTTTATAAGAGTTGCTGCTGAATAATTTGTGGAAACAGTGATACATATTTTTTCAGGGTTCCTTTGGTGAATAGAAAGTTCAGTATTTATTTGAAATATAAATATTTTGGAACATTATAAATGTCTTTACTGTCAACTTTGATCAATTTAATGCATCCTTGCTAAATTAAAGTATTAATATCTTTTTGAAAGTATTACTGACCCCAAATTTACTAACGGTTGTGCAAATAAGATATGTTTCAAGTGTTAATATTGGAGTGGGTAATCCCAGAATACATTGCAACAAACTCATTTATCCAAAATCTTAGATGTAAATGTCTAAAGTAGCTAAAGTATAAATAAATTGCTCAATTGAATGTCGTGTGCTTTTAAGCTTATTAGAATATTGCATCATTAGCTTTGAACATGCTAACATTAAACTCTATTGGAATCATTTGTGAATCAAATGTCTCTCTGATTTTATTTTATATTCTTTCTCTCAGGTACTAGTTTTCATCGCCGATTTTGCTTTCCCGTCACGGCGGTTTGCACCAAATTATCACCACAGTAAGTGTAAATGTTTATATGAACCTGCCTGCTTGACTACAGGGACATGTAATGCACCAGAGATTCATTAAAACTTAAACTATAATGATCTGGCGTGTAAATGTTTCTGTAGGGAAACTGCCTGCTGGGCAGGTACGTCTCCTGCAGCAGTTGGAAGATGAACAGGAAGCAGATGGAGAGGAAGAGGATGATGATGATGATGAGTACAGTGGAAAGACTGAAGAGTGGCAGCGAGCAGACGGAGCCGATGTGCTCAGGAGAAGAGGAGTGGGTGTGCTGGAGGAGGACACCTAGTGGACTGGAGAGGAATAGTTGACATGGAGTTGCAAAGTTATTTAAAGGTAGTTGAATGTTTAAAGTGGACTATCAAAACAAAGTCTTACCTTTTATGTTTCAGTGGATTTTAGGATGTGTCTTGGTCTTCAAACTTTTTTGATGCAGTTTATTTGTACCCCTTTTAGTTCTAATAGTTTTCTTATTGTCGTTACTAAAGTTTGACCCCTGACACTTGACTGATCCACTAGAATTAAAGTGCTTCTCAATGTGTTCTGCTCATTTGTCCACTGCAGAACAATAGTAATGTGTGAATGTCTGCTTTTACAACTCTATTGCTTGTGTGTGTGTGTGAGAGAGATTGGTTTTGGAATGTTTCTGTATTTGAGACAGTGTGAATCTGGACTGTTAATAAACAGTTTAAAGCTGCAGTGCTGAGTATTTGCAGATGGTAATCAAAAGGAGTCTTAAATGCAATTATGTTGGCCTGGTAAAACAGTGATATTGTGAAAGATCATTACAGCGTAAAAGAACGGTTTTCTATTTTAATATATTTTAAAATGTAATTTATTCCTGTGACGGCAAAGCTGATTTTTCAGCAGCCATTAATCAAATCTTTAGTATCACATGATCATCATAGAAATCATTCTAATATGCCGACTCGGTGCTAAAGAAACTTTGCTGTGCTGCTTAATATTTTTGTGGAAACCATAAAAATTTTTTCAGGGTTCTTTGATGAATAGAAAGCTCAAAAGAACAGCATTTATTTAAAATAGAAATTTTTCTTGTAACAACGTAAATGTTTTAATTCAATGGATTCTTGCTAAAAAAGTATTGATTTCTTCAAAACCCTTTGAACAGTTTAGTGTGCAGTGGCCCAAAGAAGTATTTTGGACAATAGATGTGTGATAAGGAAAAAAAAAATCATATTTATTTTAAAGAAAGAGCACAAGCATTCATTTACAAGTAAAACTTGCTACAAAAATATGTTTATTAGGTTTAAAATAATAAAACAATAGATGTACTTTTTACAAAATGAGAATATTTTCTGAGAAAAGGATTGATATTGCAGCATGGTCTGATATTTAGTGTATAATGCAATAAAGTTCACACAGTGAGATTGTAGTGTGTCAAGTTAAATTTTGTCGGCTACTATAAAATAGTAGGGGTCCGGGGCTCATTAAGGGACCTTGACAAACCTCCAGGAGAGCCCCAACAAGTCTTACAATTATTGAGCTAGTTGCGTAATCTGAATTAAAATTATAAAAATAAAAAACTTTTTTTTGCTACAATTTGTTTTATTACAGTAGTACATGTCATCTTAGAAAGGATGGGAAAAGAGTGGCCTTGGAATCACTACTGCTCTAACATGCATGTATCTTCACAGCATACATGCACATTTGACAATATTTATAATGCTTTTGCATCTGTAGAGGGCAGTATTTTTTAAGTTTTCACTACTCTACATATGGCCTTAGATAAGAGCTCTCTATCAGGGCCTCTTCAATGAGCTTCACTGCACAACTGTTTACAACTTTATTTGTTTGTTGTTGCTTGGAAACCACACAATGAATGTAAGAGCTCTCTGAAGAGCATGTTCTAATCTATGCCAGAAATATGTAAAGTTACACAACCAGTTCACGTTTATTATATGATATATCCTCGCCACTTTAACTGAATGGATGTTGTCGATACATCACACAACCAATTTTTTAGGGTTTTCTGATTGAAGTGCTGTGGTTCATGGATGTTCAGGGATTCTCAGAGCGCAGTGTGTGTTTATCAGGGCTGGGTGGTGTACGCTCACTGATCCAGAACGAACATCTGGAAACTTCTTTCTCCTTTCTTGTCTCATACACACACTTTCACTGTTCCAGAAAAAACAGCTGCTACTTCTGGAAACTTCACACACTCTGAACGGTTTTCACATCATCTATACATATGCATCTGGTACTTGTTTAAGCCAGAATACGCATGGTTTCTGATGTTTGGAGATTTCTGTCCTTCCTAATTTACACAAAAGCTACATACAGTTATGGACATTTTACATTATTGGCTGTTTGATCACTAATTAAGCAATCAGTAATTCCTTAAACGTTTTACAGTTTGGCTTAATAAGTTTGACAAATAGTGTCAGTATCTTTTTTAGATGATCATTTTATATTTTTACCATAAAGCTACATATATACACAACTCTTCAAATGCGTTATCAGTGTGTTAACAAAGCACTATATAAATTCACTATCAACACACTACATGTTCTACATATTTATTGTTTTTATCATAGCACAATGTATTTTGGTACACTATAGCTGCATGCATTTTTAAGATTTTCATTGTTATTTTCACATTTAAAGCTTATATATATTTATATATATATATATATATATATATAAAATGTTCATACACCGCTTGAGTAGCAATAGTGTGTTCAGTTTTAACTTTCTTCCATTTTGTATTTTTGGGTAAGAATAAGAAGCACTACACAATGTATTTTGGTACACTATAGCTGCATGCATTTTTAAGATTTTCATTGTTATTTTCACATTTAAAGCTTATATATATATATATATATATATATATATATATATAAAATGTTCATAGAACTGAGATTCTAGTTCTGGGCATATATGTGAAATCACACTCTAATACACAATATTACATGGAAGTATCTTGTTTGTTTAACCTGTCAGTTTGTATTGTGCATGCTGTTCAATGATGATGAAATTCAAAAGAATTATTCATTGTCAGATACACATTGCTGGAGGCTGCCTTTGCCATTAACTTGTGCCTTTAGTTGCATAACCACTGACATTGTCTGATATTGAAACTCTCTCTCACACACAAAAGAGGAGCTCTCTGTGTCTGAAATCCTTCTCTCCTGTCCTCAGGGACATGCTAACCTCCTTTTCAGATGCTCTACTTTGATTATGTTGCTCCACACTTTTTATGCATTCATGTGCATGATGTTCACGGTCTTAAAAATCATTGGCACAACCTTGAAATCCCAGGAGACCAGTGATAATGTGGAAAATGTAAAAGAGTTTTTTCTTATTGTAAGGCGCAAAAAGTATAAAGTTTAATTCATGTGACTGTGAAACCAAACACTTCCCTGCACGGTCAGTGGCGGTCTCAGATAATGTCACTATATCTACAAAATATAAAGTTTTCATGTTGATACAACATACTGCTGTCTTTCACTCATACAAATGGTGCACATAATCTGCCATGGTCGAGACACTGATCTCAGTATTGTGAAAATAAAATGGCATTACAGCTGGATCAAGCTGACTGCAGTGTTGAATTACAATGTAAGATAGTATTGCATTGCAATTTAGCAGTGAGAAATGAGAATGTACCATTAACACAGCATAAAATTAGTTTGGCGTCAGTTTTTTTTTTTTTTAAGAAATAAAACTTTTTTTTAGCAGGGATTAAATTGATCAAAAGTGACAGTTAATGCATTTTAAATGTTCCTAAATATTTCTATTTCAAATAAATTCTGTTCTTTTGAACTTTCTATTAATCAAAGTATCCTGGGGGTGGGAA